TTATGTATTTTTTAGATATTTTAATTAATTTTGAACAATTTTTATCTTAACTTACTTATAAGTGTATATATATCCACATGTAACATGTCTTGGATTCAAATGAAGTTCATTTGCGACCCCAAAAAGAACAAACTGTGAATCTGGATAACTTGAAAAACGTACTAGAGCAACACTACAACATACAAAAAGAAATCAGTTAAGAAAAAAACATGAATACATATTATTAAAATTAAATACAAACCTCATAACTGCTTCATTTTGAGGGAATCTATAAACAGCTTCGGTTATGCCTTGAACTGGATTAAACAATCTGACTAATGATGCCCACATTCCAGGACCAGCTTTGGGAGCACCAAAAATGTTTTCTGGTAAATCTTCATTCAAAAAAGCTTCAGCCATTTCCTTGGCTAACTCTTGTTCTTCTTCTCCAGCAGCTTCCTGCATTTCTTCTGCCATTTGTATTCGCCTCTGTTTTTTGGTTTGCTCAGTGTAAGCATTGTGTTCAGTTTCAACCACAATTAAGTGAGCAGAATCGGGGTGGATAACAAACTTTCTGGGTGTATATTCAACCGGGAATGAAACTTGGTTGAAAACAGCACCCAATTTTTCTAATGCCAGAATGCGCAAAGTATTACCCGAAATAGCAACAATACCTTCAGGACACTGTTCGGAAGAGAAACCAGATGCATATTCCAAACTTTCATATGATAATGGAGTTAGGTGAAAACGATTTTGGTAGTAATAACTAAGCCACGATCTACTTGACATTGCAAGTACCTAAAAATAAAATACAAGCATGATTAAACCAATACTTGCATATCATGATTTGTTAAAGATATTTCAACTTACTGCTTCATTTCCCCTGGTTCTAATTTTAAATAGTTTTACAGGTTTKCCTCCTAAGTAACGTGCTCGCGTATCAGCCATTTCTCCAGTAACACCATCCAGTACTGTGCGAAGTAATACACCATTTTGTAAACCAATGTTCAAATACAACATTGATAGTGAATTCATTGCTGGTTCATCTGAAGAACCACCGTCACTAGCGCCCATCTCTACAATACATAATGATTCAGGCATGGCTGGTATYGCTTGCATTTTTAATTGTACTAAACAGTCCTTTAAATACAAGATTGATATTTAATATTAAAATATTAGAAACATACAACAACAAATTAATACTAACTGTAGTATCTAAAGAAATTATTCGGACAGTTTCATCAGTCAAACCAACAGCTAAAAAGCGTGACATCTGTTCTCCAGAAGGAGCATTTGCTAATGCCATACAAAGAACATCAGAATTCATTTCTTTACGATCTTTATGTTCATTTAAATGTCCAGTCTAGAGTAAAAAAAATAATCAATTATAACTAAAATTGAATACAATATAATATTTAAGAATCAAATTTAATATCAAAATACAAAAACAAAATGTGTAAACATGGTTCACTTCAATGAGCATTTATCGGCTATTAGAAGGCGACATATTTGCTATTTTATCTAGCATAACTTGTAAAATTTATTGTAATTATTCAATAAATAATAAATAATTCAAATGCATTCAAAATTCACATGACCTAACTTWGTTCAAATTTAGTTATTCAATTTTAGATTGTATGATAAATGTACAAACATGGTTCACTTCAATGAGCATATATCGGCTTTTAGAAGGCGACATATTTGTTTTTTTNGTTCAAATTTAGTTATTCAATTTTAGATTGTATGATAAATGTACAAACATGGTTCACTTCAATGAGCATATATCGGCTTTTAGAAGGCGACATATTTGTTTTTTTTTTTAGCATCTTTTAAAATAATGTATTTGAAACATTTCATTAAATTCAATATTTCAAATTATTTATGATGCTTTCAAGTTAAAAAAAAATATAACATCCTTAATAGTCATTAACTTTATTATCTTAGCAGTATATATTATTTGTAACTTAATATGTCAGAATGAAATGTTGTTTCGATTACAATTAAGTATTATTTTTTTTAATCAATTAAAAATAACAAGTAATATTAAGTAAACACATAAATAAATTGTAGTTTTTGTTTGACTAGACTAGATAGTATATTTACCGGATCCATTTCAAAATATACAAGTTCACCACCACCAAGAGCAATCACAACTTGTCGTTGATTAGCTGCACACTTAACTATCTTCTTTTTTTCAGGGGCTTTCCAGTCATGCATTCGTTTGTCAGAACGTATGTGACGCACACCATTAGGATATATTTGTACAACAGCATCATCGCCTAATGGAGAACAAGATAGTGTTGGTGTAGTTCCTAAGAAACCTGAATCGGAAACTTCTTCCACAGTTTCTCCAATAGACAATACTAGAGTGGCATTTGAGAAAGACACAATGATATAGGCATCAAAATTTTCTGAAAGAATGAAAATAAAAAAAAATTATCATAAAATATTGTTTCAATGGTAGATGGAAAAATTTTGGATCAAAAAGAAAAACAATTGAACTATGATCTTTAATAAGAAACAAAATAAAAAGTTGACTAATATTGACAAAAGTTGATTATCAGAAATATAACAGAAGATTATACTATTAAATTTTTCAAAAATCAGAATCAATACGGTAAAAACTTTTGGAGACTTCAAGTTGTATTTTTTATCAAAATAAGTTAAACTATGTTGTGATCAATAGTAGACAACTAGTTGATTGTTTAGTGTTGGAATGTCCAATATTAGGACTCATCCCATTTACATCAAGATGCTGAAACAGTGAAAATATTATACACCAGTATTTTCTTGTCAGTTTTTAATTTTTCTTACAACATAAATTAAGAAACTCGTATTTCTTTAAACATTTCGGCTGAGGAAGTAGTGTTCTTATTTTATAAATGGATTTCTTCAATCACTCCCGTCCAACTCTAACACTTACCTATTTGATTCAGAGCCACTACGGTGATTCAATACCTGAAAAATAAACGAACTGATGTTTGATAGATTTTATAATCTATTCACCAGCGCATTAATATACGATTGGATTTTAAGATTTTAAAAGAATATTAAAATATAAGAGTGGACATTTTGGGAGGTTTTAAGCTTATGAATAACCTAAGTCCCTACCTAATTATAGATAAGATTAAGCAAATAAAGTATTGGTAGACTAAAATTAGTAAATATTGGTACATCTAATCTTATTAACATAAATATAATAACTTTGTAAGTTTAAGAACTATAAAATATAAAATTAAAAATAAATACTAATTCAAAGTTATGTATACTAGTTTGTGATAAAAATGAATGTTTAAAATCTTACCATCTGCTCTTCTTTTCACTGTCCATACTGCATTTGGACTCCCAGGTAGTTCAGATACTGCCATTTCTGAAACTTCAAGCCCATGCCTTAACACTCTTAAGGTAGATCTTGGACCTCGGCCACAAGCCATATATAATTGTGGAGTATCTTCAGCAGCTATTATATGAAATCAATATCTTCATTAATATTTGTAAAAACATAACTTTAACTTTATAAGTATTAACCAAGAAGTTAAAAATTATGTGTTAGTAATGTTTTATTTATATTTATGTAATTGAAAATATTTTATCAGATCCGCAGATTAACACTGGCATCATTTAACATTCAGGCCAAGTCGTGTATKTTATCATCATTTTTAAGAAGGTAATAGTTATTAGTATGAATATCAATAAATTATATTTATTTTAAAA